ATGTTGAGGCAACCTTTTCTTGTACTACACAGCTGTTGTAACCTCCTGACTTCTGTGCTGTGATCTCATTGCACCCAGCTGCTTTGCCTTGCTTTAATCATTTTGTAGGCTCTTTGATCTCTCCAGTGCTTGGCACCTCCTCTGCTTTTGATTCATCAGAAGGGTCTGAGTTGTGAGGTGATTCTGCAAAGAGTTATCAGGTTCTTGGTGATTATATAATTGGTGCAAATATTATTTCCATTGGTTTAAACATTCAGTGCTGGAATGTACAAAGGTACGACTCCTGGAAGTGTTACCATATGTGTGACCCTCAAGATGGCACAATACAGTATACATAGTCTGGTATGCTCATCAGTGTATAGCATCCTGCAATTCTGCAGTAATATTATCCCAGTACTGCCTTTGTTCCAATTTCAGATGATGGTGGATGACATGGTGAATTTCTTCATCGTAGGATGCATCAACCATATTACATTTCAGTCATGCCCATTCATCTAACCTAGTTTTCTATGTTGGCACTCCTGACTGCCAGCCAATAAGATAGTGAGTTCTAGTCCTACCTTAGGCACAAGGCCAGCAGTATGACCTTGGGCTGGTCTCTCTCTTTCAGCCCTAGGAAGCAGGCAATGGCAAGCCACTTCTGAAATCTTGCCAAGAAACTGCAGGGACTTGTCCAGTCACCAGGAATTTAAAAACAAAAAATGGACTTGAAGGCATATCTACCCACCCACCTAATACCAGTATCTTAAGACAGCAACTATAAATGGAATTACAGCAGCTTTACTTATTGGCAAATCTCTTTGATCTACAGAGTTCTGCTCTCTGTTGTTGAAATTTTATCACACACCTCAGTTTTGGACTGGGTGGCTGGACTTGAGAGTCTGAGGGGCCATCAGTGGGTGCAGTTGCCAAACAGCCCCAGCCAGAGTGGAGTCCTTGGCTCCACCAGTATTGGAATCACCCATGCCAAGACTACTGTCCCTAGATGTCCCTGGCCATGGTCTAGCAGGGCCATAATACCCAGGTGCATTTAAGGGACAGACTTGACACATTCACTTACAATTTTAGTAAACCTCCATTTTTTCTGGTTTTGCAAGCATGGCAAAGCGGTTGGAATTGTTGCTTGAAAACAAGGTCAGCCAGTTGAGACCATTCTCTTTTGTTTGGTTCCAAAATGTTTATTTCCAATCCATCTGTAGAGGTCTAACCTCTGGCCAAGGACAGGTCAATCATGTCTTGAAGGACACACATCCAACTGCAAGAAAGTGAACAGCACGGCCAAAGGTCTTGCCTCTGAGCTGTCCATGACCTCTGTGTTCTGTGGCCTCACAGAAGTTTTTGCTGTTCCCACTGTCCTGAGCCCTTGATTCAGTGCACATCAGAGTTCCTGGGCATCTTTCATCCCAGCAACACTTGCCCACATCATTGATTTTGGGGCCACTGCCTTGTTCTCAATCTTGTTCAGCAAGGAGTGTTCTCCCTTCTCCTTTGGTTCTGCCTGCCTCTGCACTTCTTTCCCATCAGAGTCAATCACACTTCACAGCATATGAAGGCATAATATTGGGCTCCACTTCATTTATCTGGGGATGGAGTTGTTGGAATAGGGGTGTAATGCGGTTTGATTACTCGTGCACACATGCAGTGAGACAAACTTGGCCCTGAAGCTCTCAATCATGATCCAGGAAGCTGGTCCATCTGCTTTTCAGCTAGCCTCAGGTGACAATGGGAATGCCTGAACACCAGCAATGTGATGTGTCCATGGGAAGCATATTGTGGTCTTCCTTCATTTTGCTTACCTGTAGCCCACAGCCTTGCTGTTCTCATCCTCAGCAATGCAAGAGAATTGAGTTCATGATAGGATTAGTATTTCATCTGTATTTATAGTAGTAGTATTCATCCAATAATATTTCATCCCTGGCAAGCAAAGGAGGTTGCATTCTTGCATGTTCATCCCTATGATATGGTAACTACAATCATCAAGGTACATTAATCTAGAAAAAAGTCATGAGTAGTTGGGAAAAAAAGACATGATTGTTTCCAGGTGAAACTATGGTGTGATTGTTTTGCCTTGAGGGTAGAGATGCAGAGTCACACACGCAAGATGATGAGTGAACAGGATTATACATTTAACACCCATAACCAGTGAAGCCTTTTCTAAATTTTCTATGCAATATTTAACTCCAGATAATAGACCTATGCATTTTGAATATTTTCTTCTCATGGATCAATTAAAAAAAGCAAAATCTATGAATTTTTTAGCCTGGATTCTGCTTACAGATGGATATTACAAGAGAATAAATTAGACACCAGGGGGTAAGCTAGACTGAGAACACATCCAGTTTCATGGACAAAGACACCACAGTTGAGCTCACCATTTCCAAAACCATGAAAGGCAGATGGTAACATATGATTTAACACATTCTTACAGCACTTCCTCCGTGGGGGACTTATAAAGCCTAATAAATTACAACAGTATAAAATCGGATTCTTTCAAAGATCATTCAGCCAAGAAAAGCCAGGATGAAGAGAATGACTGGAGTGCTTCTGGTGAGCACGGTCTGCTGTCCGGGTTCCCAAGGCTTGGGGTTACCTACGTTCAAAGAAAAACCTTGGGGTGGGCTCAGCTAACCGGCAGCTGGCGGAGGGGACCACTGCCACGGCCAGCCCCCCCCCGGAAGCTGCCACCCTGTTCTGGCCAGCTGCCCTTTCCAGACCAAGGGCGAGGGTGAGGTTACCAGGGGTGCCCAGCAGCAGCCAAGGCTCTTCTTGCAGCTGGGAGACCAAACACGGGTGCTAGGTCTCTGGGGCCCCGGTGATGATGGGG